GGGGGGGGCAGTCTGTGCTGATCAGGAGGGGGGTCTGTGACCCCCCTCCTGATCAGGGCAGTACGGATTGACATATGCGACACTGGCATATATGTGTCTATCCAATTTTTTCCTCCTCTATCTTGTGATATGTGTCCATTTACATCAGATTACCCCCCAATCCGGCACAAAAACTTGCAGACTGACCCGATCGGACCGCCCGTGTGACAGGGGCCTAAATTTGTTTTATATCTCTCTGGATCTCCACTTTTCAACATTATTACCCAACCAGCCCCCACATGACTGAACGGCCAATCACAAACCGGGGATGCCTGGGTTCTGTACCTGGTGAAGCTGTACTGCGGACACTGGAATCTGGACGGTGCCAGGCGGCCCTGTGAGGAAAACTTGCTGTACTCCACCTGTGACAAGGACACAAAGCAGATCCATTAAGCAGACAGCAACATCGTGTAGAAGAGAACACACACCATGCTGAATGTCAGAAGCTCCAACCCTGCAAAGGCTTGTGGGTAGGCGAGGAAGAGTGCCAGTGTACAGCATGCAGTTATCACTCAGGCCTTACCCTGCTCCTGCGAGTGGGACACCTGCATCTGGGAGGCCGAGGAGAAGGCATTGAGCACCGCCAGGCTCCCATCTGTCAAACCCTGAGTGGGAGCATACATGACAGCGTGCGGACTGGAGTACATCATGTGACCGCTCACTGTGGTGGGCACAGAGGAAGTCATGATAGCAGCGGGCAGGGTCACTAGTGGAAGAGAGACTACACATTAAAAGAGCTATCTGCCATAGTACTTCACATCTCAACACCCCACCATACCTATACAACATCAGCTGTACATACACGGAAGGACGGACGGACGCACACGCTGGAAGCATCTCTGGCACACAAGAGGCCGCACAGAAGAGACATTTACTACAAAACATGGATTCTCAATGACACAATGCAGAGGGTGAAGGACATCACAATGGAACATACATGAGAGCACCGTTACTTCACTCTCTGCTCACCATCTGTGTGTCTCGGTGACACACACACACACACACACACACACACACACACACACACACACACACAGCAGAGCCCAGTACCGTTGCACCC